GTGATCATGGGTGAAAAGACACCCCCTCGATTTTCATCGAGAAAAATTGAAGAAGAATCAATATTCTCCAAAACGAAGGATGGATTTGGACAAGGGTTACGTCGTATCTCTTGCAAAAGGCGACGATGACAGGGTCTAAAGGACTCAACGTGAAAGGATAAGTATAAACACTTAGGAACCCTTCCACGTGAGTAGTAATTGATTTATTAGGCGATGGGACTACCACATGCTTATCATCCCAATTGCATTCTTGTTTTAATTTCTCGAGAATTTTCTCAGTGATTCTACGTTGGTACCTCGACATCGGTTCACATCGGCCCGGTACCGAAGAAGATTTTTCAACCTTAAAATCACTAACAGTTGAACACCCTATCGGAACGAATTCCTCGGGGTGAGGCTATGTCGCATCCTTACCATCAGCGGGGATGAAGAAGTGGCTTCTTTTTGTGGCACCATTTTGGAGATTTTTGCCATTTAATGAACAATGGAAATTAGGGTTGTATGTGATGAAAAATATATGAATCAAAGGGAGTCTCCAAGAAGATGCAAGAGCAGGGATGAAGATTTTGAGTGAAAAGTTTAGATAAGGATGAAAGTTTGAATATTTATAGCATGGTGATGATGGTTCAGAACCGGTACTGGCCGATCAATGACTGAGAGGCATTTAATGCCTTGGTAAATAGACCGACGGGACGTTTGTTACATACATCATAATCGGGCTTGTCGCTGACATCATCATCCACCAAACCCGACTTTGGTAATTCATATCGTTTCTCGTTATCTTCTTTCTGAAAAACGAGGGGACTATCTGTATACGGTCAAAACTGAATTTGCTTTTTGTATGTCTAATCGAGATTGGAACGTGGTGGTTTGAGAATTATCGTTATGATATCGAGACATGGTGAGGAGTATATGTTGCCAGGCTAGAGACCGAGCAACCGATCAATATCGAGATCGGGACCAAGATCGAGCTCAAAGACTTAGAGACCGATCGAGATCGAGATCGGCCGAGATCGAGGTTGGCCAGGATCAAGATTGAGCCAAGGGACAAAAGAGCCGTTATAGCCGCATTTTGGGGAAAAATCTCGGCGGAAATCAAGAAAAAGCTAATTAAATTAATCTATCATGAGATTTCCACTATATTTTTTTTAATTATACCCAAAATAGGATTCTCACACTATATTAAGAGTAGTTATCATTTGTAAGAGGGCATCATTGATTGACTCATTCAGATTTACTGAGATTTACATAACATCTAGCTAATATCATCCTTTTTTGGGCTTTGATATTGATTCATCTTGTTCTCTTATCAATCACTCTCTATTCAATTTGGGTTTGTATTCATTCCTTTTATAACTAATTTCGATATCCATTTACATATTTTTACCGATTCGTATCAATTCATATCACGTATCCTTAGAACTATGTATAACTTCAACTCTATCCGTTTTTCGGGTAAACACTTTTCACATGAAATTGAGAATATTTTGGCATACAAATGTGAATCTTTTCATGAGAAAAATCTGACTTGGTAGGAAAGTTCTTTGAGTTTTTACGAGTGGCTAAAAGTGTGTAACTGGTCAATAGAAGATGCATGCATCGAGAAATACAGCATCTTTGTCACCGAAAAAAAAAAGGAAAAAAGAAGAATAGGGCCAGGGCTATGAATCTTGGAGAGCATTTCTACATTCTTCGTATACAATGAACCAGTACTATATTTTTATAGCTATTCTTTTAATTGCATGGTCGCCTTTTTTATATATGAGTCCGAGAATTAATTTGAGTTTAACCTTTGTACGCTAACAATGTAAATATAATTATATATCTTTTTTACACAATTAGATTACGCTAACGTTTGGACATAGATTTGATTGAAACTTGAAAAGGAGTTCTTGAGATTGTGTTGAAAAATAATTTTTGAAAGTTGAAGTTGTATTTGGACATGTATTTTATTTGAAAGTTAAAATTTTGTAAGTGGAAGAAAAAATTTCACCCAAAACCTATTGTCACGACCCAATTTAGGATCATGACCGGCACTTAGGAGCAAGTGCTCCCAAGTAAGCCTCTTCCATAATTTACAGAAAATCGGACAGAGTTTTCCTTGTTTTAGGACTATCCAAAAATAAACATGTCTTAGAAATCAACAACACAACCAACCTATATCGACCAAACAAGTTATAATCCTCATTCACGAAATATTTCCAACACAATAATACTAACTTCATCTCCAAGTATACGATAGGAAAGTCTAATATGAATCACAAGTCTGTATCAATAAAAGAATACTTATGACACTCATAAAAATGACTATGGAGCGACTCTAAGAGTTTCAAGAAAGAGACTATAACAAATAAATAACAATCTTTTGCCCACGCGAATAAATGGGGGCTCACCAGGAACTACCAACTCGTGTACTCTAATTAATGGAATCCTTGTCTGCGTCTACTGCTGTCTCTGTAAAAATAATAGTGGAGAGTGAGTCGCTAGCTCAGTGAGTAATAATACTTAACCACAACTGTTTTAAATAGGGGACAAGTCAGAAAATATGCTTGTATAATAATCACAAATAAAATGCCATTTTTTAAAACGATAATAATAATCAGTCTCATCATGTGTTTCCTGTAACAAAATCAATTTAACAATTCAGTAATAAACTCGATAAATACTGTGTCATAGCAAATCTTTATATTTGGGAGGTTTCTAGAAAAGGATCATGTAATCTGTATCACTGTGTGGACCCCTTAGTAAGAGGAGTCAAATATAACTGTAGGTCCCTACTCGAGGAAAAACTGTAACTGTATGCTAGTTCTACCTTTCCAGTAGCGAGGGCTCTAACTGTACTCGGTAACCAGTAAATACAAGGTGCACCAGGTCTAACTAACCTGCCGTTAGCTACAGGATCCTTCAAAGTTTCCTCTTATTCATACTTTTCTTTGTAAACAGCAAATCTTCACATGGAAGCATTTTCAAAACAGTACATGACATTTCAAATTTTATCAAATCATGTAATCCAATTTCGGTAACGGTAATCATATCTCTAGTAATAGTAAAAACATGTCTAGTAATAGTGAGAACATTTTAAATAACTGCAAAACATCTCAAGTAAACTATTCAGTATCATATCAAGTAAGAGACTTGTCCCACATGCAATTTCAAACATTCGGTAACACATTTTATTTTCAATAATGTATAAACCATGCAGGTTATGAAAATATAAATTGCGGTATGATTACTACTCACAGTACTCGTGTCGAAATACCAAACGTGTCACCTCGAGTGATCTGTTCGACTTTCTTCAATCAATATATAATCACATCAATATCGATCTTGTGTTAATTTCTTTGTTTAATCTAATTCATAGCTAAATTTAGATTCCAAATCCTCAGAGTTTTATGTTATACCATCAATTCGCTGAATTATATTTATCCATGCTATTAGTAATTCAACTAGTCTATAATCTATCAATTTCAACTTACTCGTATATTTATTTATTTTTCAATTTTATTTTACCCAAATTATGCCAACTATGTGTATATATCTATATCACATAGGATCACTATCGATAATACTTTCTTTCGTACCTAACAAAATTATATATACCTTGAAGATAATCTTAAGCAAGTGAAGTAAGAAAGTTTTTTCTTTGAATTAAAAATATTGCCTTCAACAAATTGCCGTTATTTCTATATTTGTTCCCATATTTAATTCATACTACTACATACAAAGACATTAAGAATTTGATTACAAAGTGTTCTACAAGCACCCATGATTCTTCTACAAAGTGCTATGAGTTAAGGGAAGCATTACTTAATCTATTCTTGTTTCTAATTATATTAATCAATCTCACTATATAACTCAAATTATTAAATTTATATACTCTCATATTAGTAAAACAAAATATAAGAATATTATATTACCTATTTTTCAAAGTTTGGTTCTAACCTCTTTCTTCTTCTTCTTCTTCTTCTTCTTCTTCTTCTTCTTCATTTTTTTAATGCTTTTGTTGCAGCAGCAGCGCTGCTTTCCCTTTTCCCCAATTCCCTTTTCTTCACGTGGGCTTTTGCCCTTCTTTTAAATTGATTAGGTTTTCCCCTTGTATTGGTTTTTTTATTATGCTAAAAGACCAACATACCCTAACTTAAATATGGGTCATTACATCCTACCCACCTTATGAAATTCGGTCCCCGAATTTAACTCAAGTATGTACCTGTAGACCGAAATAAATGAGAATACTTGACTCGTATATCATCTTCCACTTCCCAAGTAGCTTCTTCAATGGTATGATTTCTCCACAAGGCTTCAACAACCACAATTTATTTTTACTATAACTTCCTCACTTGTTTATCGACAATAGCCATCGGCTCCTCCTTGTAAGACAACTTCTCATTGAGTGGTATAGTAGGTGCTTCAATCACTTGAGAGGAGTCTGATATACATTATTTTTAGCATGGAGACATGAAACACGAGATGAATATAAGATAACTAAGGAGAAAGTTCCAAACGATATGTCACAACTCCCACTCGGTCAAGTATTTCATACTGACCTATAAACCTCGGGCTCAACTTACCTCTTTTTCTGAATCGCATCATGCCCTTCATAGGAGATACCTGTATGAACACTTTTTTTCCAATTGTGAACATTAAGTCTCTTCTTCTCTTATCCGCATAAGATTTTTGTCTGCTTTAAACTGTGAACAATCGCGGTCTGATCAATTGGACCTTGTCAATAGCTTCTTGTACTAAGTCGGGTAGGGTTGTGCATTATTTGGGTCGTACCGAAAATCCGAACCGATCCATGTTATTTGGATCGGTTCGGATCGGATTTCAACTATTTGGATCAGATTTTGGATTATAGATTTAAATATTTTGGATATCGGATCGAATACATTTTGGCTTAATTTAAATCCAAACTGATCCGAAATTCGAAATCCGAAATATAAGGCCTACATATAAAAGTGAGGGTGCCATCAAATAGGGTTTCATTTGTCTTATTTCTCTCATATCAGCAAATATCTCTTAGAGTTTTTAGACCTGCCTCCATCACTCCAAATCTCCAATATCACCGCTTCATCTTTGCTCTCCAGAAGTAAGGTTTGTGGGTTTTGTTTTGATTTTTCAATCTCTCCATCCTTTCCATTTTATATTATTGATTGATTCTTTCCTATTTATGGTCGATTTTTATTTTAGATTGATCTAACGTTTTGGTTTTTTATTCTCTCCCTTCTTTCTATTTTAGAACTTAAATTTTTCAAAGATGCTATTTGATTAAAAATATACTGTTGCTCATCTGATTTTCTCAAAGCTTAAATATTAAGTTTTTGCATGAATTTTTGTCTGGTGTTAGCTCGTGCACTTAAGCACTTTTATGGGTTCTTGTATTTCTTCGCTATCCTTTTTTAACTGCCGGTACTATTTTTTACATGAATTTTATTTTATACTTATTTCATAGATGACAGAGCTAGAGGTGGAGAAGGGAAATGAGCTTCAAATTATCCTAAAACATACTGAAAGTGGTTCTTCAAATAATTCCACAACGAACACACTCCATTGTGAATCTGCTTCTAAGAAAAGAAAAGGCATGAAAGAAAGATCAGTTGCTTGGAGCCATTTCAACAAGTTCACTGATGATGAAGGGATTAAAAAAGCTAGATGCAAGTATTGTCAAGAAGAATATGTAGCAAACACAAAAAATAACGGTACACGCAATTTGCTATCCCATATGATCAAGTGCCTGAACAATCCCCATAAGGAGGACACCAGCCAACAGAGACTAACTTTTCAACCAAAAAAGGGTGGTCAAACAGGTGATGTATCAGTAATCCCATGAAAATTTGATTAAGAGGCATGTAGGAAGGATTTAGCTCGTATGATAATTATTGATGAGCAACCCTTTATTTCTGTTGAAAAGGAGGGTTTTAGAGATTTTGTGAGAACTCTTCAACCTTTATTTCATGTTCCTTCTCGTACTACTGTGACTAGAGACTGTCTTGAGATTTATAATGAAGAGAGACATGTTTTGAAGAGAATTTTCAAAGAATCAAAATAGAGAATTTGCATTACAACTGACACATGGACTTCAATTCAAAATTAACTATATGTGTGTTACAGTACATTATATTGACAAGAATTAGGAATTGCATAAAAAAATATTGAATTTTTGTCCAATTATTAGTCACAAGGGTCAAGATTTAGCTAGTGTTGTTGCTAAGTGTTTGCTTGAATGGAGATTAGATAAAAATTTTACTGTGACAGTTGATAATGCAAGCTCTACCGATGTTATGGTTAAAGAATTATCCAAACAATTTACTAGATGGAATACAAATTTGATGGAAGGTAAGCATGTTCATGTGAGGTGTATGGCTCACATCATCAATCTAGTTATTCAAGATGGGTTGAAAGAAGGGAGTGTGTCTATTGAACGAATAAGACAAGCTGTCAGGTACATAAGGCAATCTCCCGTAAGATGGAAGAAGTTTAAAGAATGTTGTGATCTTGATAAGATAACATCTAAAAAATCATTGTGTCTGGATGTTCCAACTAGGTGAAACTCCACATATTTGATGTTGAAGGTTACGACAGTTTATGAGGATGCTTTTATAAAATATTGTGATATTGATTATGGATTGATGCATTGTATTTTTAATTATATTTGTGAGGATGGGCAGCCTTCAGGTCCACTTTTAAGTAGTGATTGGGAAAGTATAAGACGTATTGTGAAGTTTCTTGAAAATTTTTATGAACTCACCTTGAAGGTATCTGGCACACTTTATATTACATCTGATGTACATTTTCTTGAGATCTGTGTGGTAGGTTCTTCTTTGAAAGAATTGATGAAAAATGAAGATGTTGTCGTGCGAGAAATAGCAAAGAATATGAAAGAAAAATCTGACAAGTAATCCTCACAAGATGAACAAGATGATATTTATTTCATGTGTGTTGGATCCACGCCCCATGTTTCACTCTCTTTTTTTCGCACTTGCTGCTATGTTTGGAGAAACAAAAGGTGTGAAAATACAAGAGGAAGTGAAGACATACATGAAAACTTTGTTCAGTGAGTATGTCAAAATGAATGGTGATTCATGTCTATCTTCTCCATCTTCAACTCCATCTTCATGTCCATCTTCTCTATCTCCTCCATCTTCTCCATCTTCATGTACTTCTTCATTATCATTCTCAAAATTCATGCTAGATTTAAAGAGGCATAAGAGTGGTGGAGGTATTGACTCAAAAACAGAGTTGGATAAATATTTGGGTGAAGATGTTGAGGAAGAAAAAGATAAATTTGATGTTCAGGGTTGGTGGAAGTTGAACTCACCTAGATTTCCCAATCTTGCTGATATGGCACATGATGTACTAGCCATACCAATTTCTAGTGTTGCATCTGAATCGGCCTTTAGTACTGGAGGACGCATACTTGATCCATTTAGGAGTTCATTGACTCCTAGATTAGTTCAAGCTCTTGTGTGTGTCTAAGATTGGCTTCGTAACGAATCAACAACTCCGGTTAAAATTGAGGAAGATTTAGATAATCTTGAACAACTTAAACTTAGTAAGACTATCTTTCTTCTTTTATTCTTTGTTTTGATATATATATTTGATAACTTATTTGTATGTTTATTTGGATTCTTTTTATGTTAACATATGTGTGGTTTTAAACTTTCAATATAAATGGTCAATACTGGAAAAGAGCCTTGCATCGTCCACATATAGTATTGATGAAGATTATTGAACTATATTTTGCTGGTAAAATTCTTTCACTAGTTATTATTTTGTCCAGTGTGTTGGTCTTTGATTTTATGTTTCAATTTTTTCACTAAAGTCTAAACCTTTCCTTTGTTATTGCAGAAACAAAGGGGAGTAGTACATCTGGAATTGGGAGGGAGATAGAAGTTGGAACTCTTTAATATTTTTTTGCCTTCTTGAGTTCATCCTTTAAATAGTGGAATACCTATATCTATTTTATTGATCTGTTGCCTTGTTGGTACTGTAGTTTATTTAGTTCTGTTGCTACAATTATCAGCTAGTATTATCCAGTTTAACCTTTTGGGTTTGTTCAGTTCTGTTGCTACAATTATCAACTAATATTATTCAGTTTAACTTTTTGAATCCATATTGAATTGTTGATGTTGTTTATCATTATAGAGTATGTATTTCCTTCTCGTTCTAGTTGGGTAAATCTTTATGGATCAGTTGTTAGATCCCCTCTTTATAGAGTAAGTTGATGGTTATGCTACACCGATCACTAAGAGATGAACTCATGGAATAAGCATCTTAATATATAAGGCTTATAATCCGAACCGTAATCTGAAATATTTATTCGATCCAAATATCAAAATCCAATCCGAACCGAATTTAATTTGGTTCGGATTCGGATTGCAATTTATCAAATTCGAAATCCGATCGGATAGTCCAAAATGTACCAAATCTGATCCAATCCGATCCATGAACAGGTCTAAAGTCGGGTCACAATAAGTTAGTCTCACTAGCTTCAAACCCTCCGATAGAAGAACGACATCTTCTACTATATAATGCTTTGTATGGTGCCATCTGAATACTGGACTGGAAGTTATTGTTGTAAGCAAATTCAGCTAAAGGTAGATAAGCGTCCCAACTACCTCTAAACTCAAGAATACAATCTCTCAACATATCCTCCAAGATCTGTATAGCACATTCGGACTTTGCGTTTGCGTGCGATAAAACTAGTACTAGGATCTACTCGTGTACCCAACATTTCTTGAAAAGGTTTTCAAATCGTGAAGTGAATGCGATCCTCTATTAGAGGTGATGGACAGTATAGCTCTATTGAGTCAGATAATTTTCTGTTCATGTATATCTATGCATATTTTACCTCATTATAAGAGGTTTTAACTAGCAAGAAACGTGCCTACTTTGTAAGCCAATCTATAACTTTTCACATATAATCATACCTCTAATGGTTTGAGTAATTTAGTCATATAATGTATTGTTCTATTGTATTTTCACTTCAGAATCTTGAGTTGTTTTAGTGGGCCTGTGAGTCGCAAGTGCTTGCCTTAACATACTGACATAGTGACATGTCAAATAGTTAGAAATAAAGTTAACTTGGATAAGCTTATTGGACTATTCAAGCGTCTTTGGGAAGTGACTAGCTAGGCATTTGATTCACTTGACTAGTTAGTTTGATTGGACTATAATCTAACCTTGCCTATGTGAACTTCTTCACATAGTCGATTCAAACACAGACAAAGAGTAAGTTAGTAATAAGGTTAATGGTTAAATTAAAAATAATAAATTTATGATGAATCCTCACAGTATCCCAGCTAACATATAATTGAGATATAATTATTCTCGTTGGATTATAATCCTTCTCTTATGCTATTTGGGATTGGGAGGTGACACCAGAAGTTTAGAGCTTAATAATCTTATCGACTAGTTAATTAAGGGGCAAACTTTCCAATTTCTGCAAGGAAATTATTTATAATTTTTGTCACAAATTATATTTTACTTTTAAAAGAAGAGAAACAAAGGGCTGTATCGTTTCATTTGATACAAGGAATAACCAATTATTCACTCATTAAAGAAGATGTAAATAGTTTAAATTCAAAAATACAATTAGTCATCTTATCCCTGATTGTGTTGTACTGTAGCTATCATAATATCTGAATCTGACAGACTTTATAAGAAAACTTTCAACATCATATCCTTAATTCATAAAGATGCATACTGTTATCCTGACTCTCCAGAAACTTTCCTCAACAAAAAGTGTCTAGGTCCTTAGATTTTAAATATGTGGTCCAACAGAAATGTATTTTCTACTGGATTTTTGTGAATAAGCTTTTGTGTTGAGCTTTATGCTATTAATCTTTTGCTTATCCTTCTACCTTTTTGTATCAAATTTCGCCTTATAATTGGTACATTTGCGATATGTTCTTGTTTCTTGCTCAGTATAACCTTCACTTTCAAACACTTTGCTCGACCTAATTGCTTAAATTCATTTCACGAGAAATTGAGAATATTTTGGCACACAAATGTGAATCTTTTCACGAGAAAAATCTGACTTGGTAGGAAACTTCTTTAAGTTTTTACGAGTGGCTAAAAATGTGTAAGTGATCAAGAGAAGATGCATGCATCGAGAAATACAGCATCTTTGTCACCAAAAAAAAATAAAAAGGAAAAAGAAGAATAGGGCTATGAATCTTGGAGAGCATTTCTACATTCTTCGTATACAATGAACTAGTGCTACATTTTTTTTAGTATATTCTTTTAATAGCATGATCGCCTTTTTTATGGGTCCGAGGATTAATTTGAGTTTAGCCTTTGTACACTAAGCATAAATATAATTATCTTTTTTACTACACCATTAGATTAAGATTACCTACAAAAAACAAGTAACAGAGATAACTTGATTTGGTAACATAAGAACTGCAGTAATCTTTAGTTTAAATACACTGAAAATACAAAATTTCCTATCCGGTTAGAGTATATATATAAGTTAAATTCGTCGCATTATTGTATGAAAAAAGGGTGGAATGGGCATAGCTGACAGTAGTGATGCTTCCAGGATATATATTTCTGAAAATAATGCATTGAGAATCTAAGTCAAAAATTTGCATGACATAATGAATGCACTGCTAGCTTGGGCACACACATCTTAGGATCTGGACAGTTGTTATTGCAGGATATATGATCTACTAAATATTGTTATCCTGCACTTCAGAAATCATGGATCTTATTTATTTCTAGTATTGAATCAAGGCATTAATTTCTCCAGAAGGTGAGAAATTCATTGTTTACTCTCATCCTCATGATTGGCTCCCCAGTATCAATTTCTTTCACCACCTTCATTTGTTAGCTAGTAGCTATACCCCACTATGATTGAATGCCTTGCTCATTATGTTGCAGGTATAACAAAATAAAAATTGCAACTTGCCCTTACCCAAATCATGATTTGTCGACAACATAATTCGGACTATAAACATATAGTATATCTTATTCTAACGGTTATAGTACATGATGATATACTGACATACCACTACGGAATATGGTAAATACCTTCACTTTTAACTAAAAATCTCGACTTCTAATTTTGGTAACAAAGAAACTCTTGATATGGACCTATGTAATGTAAATTTAGATTAATCTGATCAACTGATCCCCGATACAAGATGGTTAAAAAAATATGACAGCACTGATGACGTATGTATGGTGTATGTTATTTTGACTTGCACCAAAAGACAAGAGAGAAGACAATAAATTACAGGTTGGTTTTGTGACATGTATAGCAACCTTGGTTGTCCTACAAAATTTTTGGTATATTTCTATTTCTAGATTAAAATAAGTTGAGAGAAATTGTCCTGACCAGAATACATGGCATGTGCAGATTCAGTCATTCAGAGAGAAGCAGAGACAATAGTCTGCAGATACAGTTAGCATTAACAAGGCATTTATTCATGCTTGGCTAGCTTGGGGTCCAAATAAAGGATGGAATTATTTTTTAATTTATAAAGGACAGTATCCACTGCTCCACCACCTTACTCCATCAACTCCAAACTTTTTCTTTACAATATCTTTTATTCTTCCCATATCTCTGCAGCAGTTGCGGAAGGCTTATTTTAAATAAAAATATATTTTCTGATATGGTATCTTGTAGTCATGAATACCGCCTTGTACAGGCAATAACCTAATTGTGAAAACCATGGTTTTGTCAGGACATATTTTGTTAGTTTGCTATTTCTGAGGATAGTATGTATGTGTCCACTTCTACCTTGTTTTCAGGTTCTTCTCATGCTCTTTGAATTTATCATGGAGATTCATACACTTACTAGCTAAGAGGAAAACGTACAATTTTTTGCCGCAGCATTTTGATTGATCATTGGCTGGCTCACCCATCTATGCTTATTCATACATCATGATTTTTTTATTTTATTTTAAAAAAAATATGAATTAATTACACGGCAAAGGAAAAAGGAGAAAGAAAACAGTGAAAATCAAACATATATTTAATCCATAGAAAGTGCTCATCGATATCACTAAATTGTAAGTCATCTACATATGATGACTTTAGTTAGTTTACACAGCTTTCAAGCGAATCATAGGAGCTAATTAGGAACCAAAATTGTAACATTTCTTATAACATTGTCACTAGTCACATTTTCACGTACCAAAAAATAACTTTTTCTCACGAGAACTTAGAATTTTCTTTTAAGTGTAATTTTTGTAGAGTAAGTTGTAATATATAGGATCATTTAATTTGTGTTAATGATAGATTGTATAGAATCATTTATTTGGTAAGTTCAAAATTTTAAGATGGAGGCTCATGTTTGTAGACTGAATATTTCATTTTCAAATTCAAATCAACTTAGAATTATGATGAGAAAAAAAAAGTTTTCATGAAATCCATAGCTGAATTTTTTTTTGTTGTTTAATAAAGTTGGCCTGAGCTTCCACTCAGGGGCGGAACCACAATGCCGATTACGGGTTCGATCGAACCCAATAGCTTTGGTTCAAATTTTATATTTATTTTTTAAAAATTCATTAATCATGTATAAATATTAATTTAGAACTCAATAATTTAAAAGTATTAGAATCTCGAACTCTTAAACTTGAAATCCTAGTTCCGCCGCCTCTGATGCCATTACTATTGACATTTGGCAATGCATAAAATGAAAACAAGTATAAGACGAGGCAATGATATTTTAGAATTAATTTCATGTATTATTCATATAACAATAAAATTTCTTAAATATTGAGTATTATAAAAAAATATTTTTCATAAGCTGAGATGACACGATACAGTCGGTGGCTTATAATTATATACCTCCTCAAAGCACGAGAGAGCTCTACAAAAGTCATCGAATGGATAATGATCCTTTATTCAGTTTGGAATATCAAATGAGAACTTTACAAATGTTGGGACGAAAACATTTTTTTTCTAAAGC